GAACTTTACAATATTAATCGGCAGTTATATACCGTTTATATTCAGTATTAAAATTCAACTTTAGCCAAAGATGTTAGTAATACTAAAATGCTATGCGAAGGGGGGGGGGGGCAGGTCCACGACGTAGAGAGTGGTAAAGGAAGCGGAAATGTGAGCAGTGCGGAGTGTGGAAATCCTTTGTGACTGTTAAATTAATATATCTGTAATACTTAAATGCTATGGAAAGAGAGGGAAACAGGTCTACGATGTAGGAAGTGGTGAAGGAAGTAGTCAAGGCGAGCAGTCCAGAGTGTGGGAACCCTTTGTGACAGTTAGATTAATGTATCTGCAATAATAAAATGCTAAAGGAAGGGAGGGAAACAGGTCCACGACGTAGGAAGTGGTGAAGGAAGTAGTCAAGGCGAGCAGTCCGGAGTGTGGGAACCCTTTGTGACAATTAGATTAATGTACCTGCAATACTAAAATGCTAAAGGAAGGGAGGGAAACAGGTCCACGACGTAAGAAGTGGTGAAGGAAGTAGTCAAGGTGAGCAGTCCGGAGTGTAGGAACCCGTTGTGACAGTTAGATTAATGGATCTGCAATAAAAAAAATGCTAAAGGAAGGGAGGGAAACAGGTCCACGACGTAGGAAGTGGTGAAGGAAGTAGTCAAGGCGAGCAGTCCGGAGTGTGGGGACCTTTTGTGACAGTTAGGTTAATGTACCTGCAATACTAAAATGCCATAGGAAGGGAGGGAAACATGTCCACGACGTAGGAAGTGGTGATTGAAGTAGTCAAGGCGAGCAGTCCGGAGTGCGGGGACCCTTTGTGACAGTTAGGATAATGTACCTGCAATACTAAAATGCCATAGGAAGGGAGGGAAACATGTCCACGACGTAGGAAGTGGTGATGGAAGTAGTCAAGCGAGCAGTCCGGAGTGTGGGGACCCTTTGTGACAGTTAGGTTAATGTACCTGCAATACTAAAATGCCATAGGAAGGGAGGGAAACATGTCCACGACGTAGGAAGTGGTGATGGAAGTAGTCAAGGCGAGCAGTCCGGAGTGTGGGGACCCTTTGTGACAGTTAGGTTAATGTACCTGCAATACTAAAATGCCATAGGAAGGGAGGGAAACATGTCCACGACGTAGGAAGTGGTGATGGAAGTAGTCAAGGCGAGCGGTCCGGAGTGTGGGGACCCTTTGTGACGATTAGGTTAATGTACCTGCAATACTAAAATGTCATAGGAAGGGAGGGAAACATGTCCACGACGTAGGAAGTGGTGATGGAAGTAGTCAAGGCGAGCAGTCCGGAGTGTGGGGACCCTTTGTGACAGTTAGGTTAATGTACCTGCAATACTAAAATGCCATAGGAAGGGAGGGAAACATGTCCATGACGTAGGAAGTGGTGATGGAAGTAGTCAAGGCGAGCAGTCCGGAGTGTGGGAACTTTTTGTGACAGTTAGGTTAATGTACCTGCAATACTAAAATGCCATAGGAAGGGAGGGAAACATGTCCACGACGTAGGAAGTGGTGATGGAAGTAGTCAAGGCGAGCGGTCCGGAGTGTGGGGACCCTTTGTGACGATTAGGTTAATGTACCTGCAATACTAAAATGTCATAGGAAGGGAGGGAAACATGTCCACGACGTAGGAAGTGGTGATGGAAGTAGTCAAGGCGAGCAGTCCGGAGTGTGGGGACCCTTTGTGACAGTTAGGTTAATGTACCTGCAATACTAAAATGCCATAGGAAGGGAGGGAAACATGTCCATGACGTAGGAAGTGGCGATGGAAGTAGTCAAGGCGAGCAGTCCGGAGTGTGGGGACCCTTTGTGACAGTTAGGTTAATGTACCTGCAATACTAAAATGCTATGGGAAGGGAGGGAAACATGTCCACGACGTAGGAAGTGGTGATGGAAGTAGTCAAGGCGAGCAGTCCGGAGTGTGGGGACCCTTTGTGACAGTTAGGTTAATGTACCTGCAATACTAAAATGCCATAGGAAGGGAGGGAAACATGTCCACGACGTAGGAAGTGGTGATGGAAGTAGTTGAGGCGAGCAGTCCGGAGTTTGGGGACCCTTCATTAGTTAGATAAACATATATTGGATTTTTAATTATTTTTAGATGATATAATTACGATATTGTTGTTTTAAATCATCATTGAAAGCCATACGATATTTTTTAGGAGATTCCTTACATCGTGCTTTGGCAATTAGGTTAAGTTAGATTAGTTTAGTTTGGCTTAGTTTTGTTTATGATAGGCCTGATAACAAATATGGAAATAGGCTTCATTTAATCAAAAGACATGTTATACAGGAACGATGGATTTACCTCCTATCGATAACTGTTGGAAATCCATTACGTATATTACCATTAACAATGACTTATTAATGGTTAATTAATGGATGAGAAGTTAGGATTGTTGTTGACTTAGATTTGGTTGATTTGCTCATACAAATAACATTGTGTCCACCAGTGACACCGGTAAGTAGGCTAGGTGTGAGTGGACTCTTTCATTACTGCGCTCATGTTCACTCATCCCGTTACGCGCAGAATAAGCGTACTACTAGTTATTTATAATACCAATGTCCTTTTAGATGTTTTAGTTTAGGTATATTATCACACTATTAAGCCTGCTAAAATAGATCTGACTTGATTTTCATTATTTATACAATTGGTTCTCTTTTTATTTACAAACCGCACGACACAAATATATGGAAACACAATGCAAGCAATTGTTAATTATTTCATTTCGGCTCCTCTAAGGGTGCAACAAACAACGTAAGAAGGTCTTAATTAGAAACATCAAGAAACTCCGCATTGTTACTTTTCTTTGTTTTAAGTAGTTTCTCGATTCAGGTCTTTCCTTGTCTAGCAAGAACAGACTATTGTGACAATTTTAACTATGTAACAAAATTAGTTGTTGGTATGCAAAATTAGTATCTAACGTAGTTTTCAGCGGTACTTACGGATTATAATCTAACAACTATAACCTATCCTAACCTAACCTAACCACTATAGGTTACGTTAGGTTAGGTTAGGAAGATTTTGTTATTTAAACTAATTAAAATCTTATTTGGAAGTCGATTTATCGGTGTGGTCGGTATAATACGTAAGTGCCTTTTCGATTATGTAACACATTTTAATAACTGAAGTCTATTCAATGTTTGAAGTATATTTAGTTTATACTAGTGGTCGTCCTGTGGTCGAAACTCGACCAAAAATAATTAATGTACAGACTTCTCTATTTTCTCCCCACACTGTAAATAAAACATGTGATTGGAATTTCTTCCATTTGTTTTGATTTTCTGTTTACTGTACATTTTGTTGTTATTTCGTCACCATCATGGCAACCCATATGGTCCATGTTAATTTTTTGAAGTTTTCAAATTCATTTTTTGTTCTTATTTGTTAGCCTATTTTAATTTTTAAAAGCATTCTGCACATCTACAGGAAAATATCTTTCCAACAGTATGCGTAGATTTTCCCTGCGATGCACACGAGCTGAGAAAAAAGGTTTTAAAGAAACTCTGACAAACAAAGGTTTAAGCATGTAATAAAACTTAATAAGAAAGCGTATATCATATAAAGCCGATTTATTTAATTAGTTGTAATAGGTACATTAGTAAGTAGTTTCTTATTTTAGGTATTTCCTTGACTCCTAAGCCTAGGCAATTCACTATGGGTTGACTGTTGTGTGCCTTCATGAAAGATGTATATAAAACACGCCATACGATTAAGGTAATGGTTATATCAATTCTATATGACAAAAGAGCTAAACACAGATACATTATCATAGCCTACGAAGTCTTTAGTTCTGTTTCTATGTACAGATATATAGTTCCGTAGCATTGGCTCCAAATAGCATTCCATGTGATAATAAATCATTGGTGAATGATGTGATTTGAACCCGTGTACCCGAATCCCCTTAGCACTGTTCTTACTATCTAACAATAGAAAACATGCTATACTTTTCGTGAGAAATTTTTCATAAACAAGCAGTCAAAAAAATTATTTTTCACTTCCATGGTGATTTAGTACTGCTTTTAGCACTCGCTGAGTAACAAATAAGGGTAGATTGATTCAGCTTCTTGTGGGATTTGATACTAAGCCGTACGAGACATATTGGGCAGCGACGTTTGATATTTGGAAATCATTTTTTACAGCAAATGTAAGTGATAAATACCCCCGCCACAGCAAACCTGCAGACTAAGTGAATTTCCATTTACCTGGCTGGATTTCTACTAAAATATTTCCTACAAATTGTCAGATTTATTTCCTATATATAAAACACATTAATTTTAGTGAGTACTTAGGTTTGCTGCTACAGGAAAAATATTGAGGTGTGTTTTTTATTGCAATGTTGATAGCTTAGTAGGAAATAAACAAAATTTCCAAACTTGGTTAAAATATATCAATAAACAAGGAAACAACAACAGTTTATTTATTCTCCATAAGAATAACATGGAGATTTGAAATATCAATTTTTTTTAAATTATCTCCGTAACCGTTGGGAATACAACAACGCTTTAATATACAAAATTTTTTTTTAGCTTTACAAAATGGTTTGGAGAGAAGTAATGAAATGTTGTGTTTCTATAAAAAATTTCATCAAAAACGGATAATTTTTGCTCGAGTTATCGCGCTAACGGACACACATAGATATAAATATATGAACTTGAACGGATGGTGTTTTTGGCCTCTGGGGACATCAAAACGAAAAAGTAAATCGGTCCAGGGTCTAGGTCTTACCATAAGACCTACGGTAATAGCTTATTATTCCCTATATAGGAAATTCGCTGAAAATAGATTATAGGCCTACAAAAATAATATATCACACATTTTTTATGAATTATTATTTTTATAAATATTATTGAGTATCCCTAACGTAATAATAAGAAAGGACGGTGGGTTTTGGCTGCTTAAGAAAAACAAGAAAAGCAATTCTGTAAAAGGTTTCCATGATAAAGACTATAACTACAACGTAAATGGAAAAGTTGATATAAAAAATGTATAGTTAAAACTTACCTATTTCAACTGAAAATACAAAATGAGGAAGACATCTTCGTGATCGGATACCTGTAAAAATTGAGTTTCGTTAATTTGATACATCGACATTTTGGATAAAGGTAATCAATGATAATCTTAGGAGTTTTTCGTTGTTATTTTGAAATTTTAATGCTTAATAGTGAGGTTTCTCATAAAAACCGATAACCTTACTGGGAATTTTTCACATAAACGGTTCGCACAAGTTTGATTACGATTATTTATTGTGTAGTGGTCCTTTAAATTCAAAAAAAAATTTACAACCCCCATTGCTGTAAAAATTACTGTTTGAAAGTTAGGTATCGAAACTTTTACCCTAGAAATACCATAGTACACGATAGGTTACTCCAACCGCTTACCCATGTTAGGTGTATATGACAAGCTAATGGGAGAAATATGAGTCAGATTGTTGATAATGATTTTTTTTACACATAACACAAATATCTGATTGGAACACATGGTGTATTGATGGAAATTCAAGATTTATTTTCCTTCCTATGTTTTCCATATTATTTTCATATTAAGTCATGGGAACACCATAAATGCTATAATAGTCCACAATAAGCTGTCATTTTGGGTTTGCAATAATAATAAGTTTGCGATGAAAAATATGGCGCCATTTCAAAGCAGAAAAAGCTGATCGTTCAGTTTAACTAGGTTTGTTTTCTATACAAAACATATTAAAACTTAAACATTGCAAAGGAATTTCTACTTGACGGTAGTGCGTTAAGAGTTAACACTTTTTTTCTAAAATCAGTGGCAAGACAGTACCCATTTACTTTCCAACCACTGATTGATTTGTATATACTTTATACAACATGCAGTGGCACGAATTAAAAGTTTAAGATTCTCAATTTTGTAGCTTGTTTCATCCTACCTACTATTAAAAGTCATCAGTGTTGATAAGCTAACTCGCAACGTATACAAAACTAATTAAAAGTACACATGCCAACAAAACAAAACCTACATCGATGAACAAAACCAATCAGCTATGTAATTGATCTATATAAATTGGAGAAAATTGAGGAAAACTCCGGGGTCAACATGGGGTCATGTTAAGGTTATGGGGAGCACGCACTCGAGAGTGAAAGGGTGGTTAAGGGGGTGGGGGGGGGGGGATTCGGAGAGAATGTAACACGCACCCTGTCAATTGTCATATGTCCTTGTATAGGTTAAAAATTAATTAGCTTTTTACATATTTGATTAGCTGTTAAAAGTTATTTGCTTCTAATCTCTTCAGTTGGATATAATTACAATTTAACTTTGCTTTTTACGTTTTTTATTAAATCCAAAATAAGTTTGCTCATAGGTTTATATGTTAATCCGTTAAAGCTACGTAGCAATCATGGTGTCAGTCAAAGAAAAAATCTGACATTTTAAGGGGAACAAATACAACATTGTCAGGTTAAGGGAATGGTTACCGTGTCCTCGAAGAGTGGTTAAGGGAACATTATTCTCAGGTTAAATTTAAGAAAAGGTCCATGTGGCCCTAACTTTGCCTGGGTGAATAAAGATTTTTTTATTTAATTTTTTCATTTCAATTCAAATACTCCTTAAACCAATAATATACTTTTCTAAGCCCTTTCGTCCAGCAAGTTGTTAATCTATCTATCTATACTTATTTAATACGCAAGCAGGTTTTTTGTGACAATTACTCCTCCGAAACTACTGAACCGATTGACATGTTTTTGGTGTCATTGGAAAGAGCGTAACGTGAAGTTGTGCAGGAAACTTTCTTTTTCGGTAAATAATTAGAGAGTGAGGCCCTGGAGGCCCTTTAAAGTTTTGTATTTCTCCATAAGATTAACATGGGAAACAAACATTGTTTTGAAACTCCAGCTGTCGTCAGAAATTTATATGTTAATAATTGGTCTCCATGGAAGCATGAGAAAATTCACAATGTTTACATTTAAATGTAAACAACCAGAACTGTCAAATGTCTATTTCACAATTTTAGACAGCTGATCCAAAAAAATAAAACAACTATGTGGTAGGTTTATTTAATCTTAAACTTGATGATTGATTATTTATTATAAATCTATTTCAATGATTATGAAACAGATTTTTCCCGTTGCGAAGCAAAAATTAAGTGTGACTGTGAGAAGAAGAACATATGTTAATTGTAAACAGTCAATGTGTAAATTATATACAGGGTGAATAAAAAGTCAAGACCCCCCCCCCTCTAATATTTTTCCAAGTTTTATACAGAGATATCCTTTTGGAGGTCGTGCAATCTTAGCAAGAAGTTTCATTTTATGATTTTGAAAATTTTGAGTGTCCAATTGTGTTGGATATATTTTGGGGAAAAGGGGGGATTTGGGGAGCCACTCAAATATTTTAAATGTAAACCCCCTTCAAGTGACACCTCATTTTGAAGTGTTTACAAAAACTTAAAGAATGGTGAAAACTAGAGGTCGCTATCTCTTCTCTATCCAAAATGATAGCCCGTCAAATGTTGTGGAAAATCAATGGTAAAATTGGTTCGTAATTGTAATATTGGCTACCATTTTGGATAGAGAAGAGATAGCAAAAACGCCATCCATTATGTTATAATGTTATGTTATATTAAAAATGTGTATAGTTTTGGATTTTGGTTTGTGTTTAATGATATAAGTTATTAATTATTGAATTTTAATTTTAAGTATTTGGTATTGAGTATGCCTATGATAAATAACACTATTTCAGAGTTCTGCCAGTTTTTGCCTAACTCTGTTCTGTAGAGTTTAAAGTAGCCTACACTTTATTGTCTACAAATTGGCTAAATAACTTAGGTACAGGCGTACATCATAAAGCTGACAGCCTTTTTACGTTGACTTAAATTGTAAGCTTACCTTTTCCCGTCCATGGGCAGTTTGATAGTTAAAAATTAACCCATTAAACTGGAATAGGATTGTTTAGTCGACTTTTTTAAAATCATCGGAAATTATGACTGTTATTAGTTTTCAAACAAGTTATTTGTTTATAAATAACTCCTTTACTTCTTGGCAATTGCTCGATTTCGAGCAACATGTACACTAGTCTATTACTTATTTAATATGCAAGCAGGTTTTTTGTGACAATTACTCCTCCGAAACTACTGAACCGATTGACATGTTTTTAGTGTCATTGGAAAGAGGGTAACGTGAAGTTGTGCAGGAAGCATTCTTTTTAGGGAAATAATGAGAGAGTGAGGCCATGGAGCCCTTTAAAAATTCGTATTTCTCCATAAAATTAACATTGGAAACAAAAATTGTTATGAAACTCCAGCTGTTGTCAGAAATCAAAAGTGAGAAGAAGAGCATATGTTAATTGTAAACAGTCAATAAGTTTGCTAATTTAACAGTTTGCTACAAACTTGCTGACTTGGTTGAAATTCGTTTTAAAATAACGCCTAGGTAATACTAAGCAATTGCTCGAATTCGAGCAACAGGGACACTACAATGCTAGTACTTATTTAATACGCAAGCAGGTTTTTTTGTGACAATTACTCCTCCGAAACTACTGAACCGATTGAGATATTTTTGGTGTCATTGGAAAGAGCGTAACGTGAAGTTGTGCAGGAAACTTTCTTTTTAGGGAAATAATTAGAGAGTGAGGCCCTGGAGCCCTTTAAAGTTTCGTATTTCTCCATAAGATTAACATAGGAAACAAACATTGTTTTGAAGCTCCAGCTGTTGTTCGAAATCTATTAATAATTGGTCTCCATGGAAGCATGAGAAAATTCACAATGTTTACATTTGCTTTGACATTTAAATGTAAACAACCAGAACTGTCAAATGCCTATTTCACAATTTCAGACAGCTGATCCAAAAAATAAAACAACTATGTGGTAGGTTTATTTAATCTTAAACTTTATGATAGATTATTTATTATAAATCATTTCCAATGATTATGAAACAGATTTTTCCTGTTGCGAAGCTAAAATTTATAGAAGAACATATGTGTAAACAGTCAATGTGTAAATTATTTGTATGTTGTATTAAAAATATGTATAGTTTTGGATGTTTCTTTGTGTTTAACGATATAAGTTATTAATTATTGAATTTTTATTTTAAGGATTTGACATTTGAGTATGCCTATGATAAATAACATCATTTCAAAATTCTGCCAGTTTTTGCCTAACTCTGTTCTGTAGAGTTTAAAGTAGCCTACACCTTATTGTCTACAAATTGGCTTAATAACTTAGGTATGGTACATTATAAAAGCTGACAGCCTTTTTACGTTGACTTAAATTGTAAGCTTACCTTCTCCCGTCCATGGGCAGTTTGATAGTTAAAAAATAACCCTTTAAACTGGAATAGAACTGTTATGTAAATTGTGAGTATTTCCGTTAAATAGTAATCTTTTCGTCGACTCTTTTAAAATCATCGGAAATTATGACTATTATTAGTTTTTAAACAAGTCATTTGTTTATATGTAACTCCTGTACTTCTTTGCAATTGCTCGATTTCGAGCAGCATGTACACTAGTACTTATTTAATACGCAAGCAGGTTTTTTGTGACAATTACTCCTCCGAAACTACTGAACCAATTAACATGATTTTGGTGTCATTGGAAAGAGCGTAACGTGAAGTTGTGCAGGAAACTTTCTTTTTAAGGAAATAATTAGAGAGTGAGGCCTTGGGGCCCTTTAAAGTTTCGTATTTATCCATAAGATTAACATGGAAAACAAAATTTGTTATGGAACTCCAGCTGTTGTCAGAAATTAAGAGTGAAATATTTATTGATGGTATCCATGGTAACAAAGAACAAACCCACAAAATTTAAAAATGTAAACAAGCAGAACTAACTGTCAAATTAATTTTGATTTCACAATTCCACACAGCTGGTTCAAACATATTAAATACTGCATGATTATTAGAACAGGAACGGTAGGGATCATAAACATTAATCAAATATGTCACTCGCCCGAATCATTTTTGTCTATGCCCGAATGTAAACATTTAACATTGATTAAATTGAACTGTCAAACTACAGTATATGTTAATGTCATTAGTATGGAATTCTTTCAACATCATTTGTTGATCGAGTTAGTTTCAATATTTTTGAACTGC